ACAAGTGAGCTTTTATCATTTGTTGTGTTTGTGATTAGTAGGGCTGCTATGGCAAAGCTTAACTTTGCCCATGACTAAAATACGCCCCTCGTACAAATTTAAGTAGAATACACTACAAAGACAAGTGAGATTTTATCATTTAAGGTTGTTTTTTTAATGCTTTATGTTCCACTCACATTATATCTGTTTCTTCTGTTCCCAGTTTTAAAGTATGGTGTATATGTAAAGTGACTCATTTCATTATTTGATCTTCGTTTAAAAATTCAATGGACTTCTGACTATTTGTTACTCCTTTTTCAGTTTCATAGTACAGATTACAACAGAAGTGACTAATCAAACGGAGATGTTATTGTTTGACGTTGCTGTGAGAAATGTTGTGTAATGTTTTACTCACTTTACAATTGTTTCTGTTTTTCAATTTTATGGTATAGTTGATACCGGAACTGATTGGACCGGGTTCTAATTTGTTTCTAAAATGATTTTTCATGTTCTACTTCTCACACTTTGTTTCTTAATTTTTTTCTCTGTTTCATTGTTTAGTTTATACCAGGAGTAACTCATCAGATCAAGTTTCAATTATTTGTTTGGTTTATAAAATAATTTTCCATGTTCTACTGACTTCTCACCATTTGTTTTTACTTTATTCAGTTTTTTACTTTAGTGTATCTTGAGTGACTGATTTCTTATCATTTGCAATTAACTTTAAAATGTTTTATGAACTACTAAATTTTCATTTATTTCTTCTCTCATTTTCATTGTATATTTCAACATACAATCATGTGACTGATTAGACTGAGTTCTTCTCATTTGAAAAATAATGGTGCATGTTCTAATGACCTCTCATTTGTTTTTTTTTCTCAGTTTTATAGTGTAGTTCATACAAAAACTGACTGACCAGACTAAATTATTACTATTTGAAATTGGTTGAATTATTTTTTTATATATGTTTCACTAACTTCTCGTTTCCTTCTTCCTTTTTTAGTTTCATAGTACTATGGTGTTTACCAGAAGTGACTGATCGAACTGTTCTGATCTATCTTGGTAGGTTTAGAAAATACCTCATGTACTTTTGACTTCTATTTGCTTTTTCTTTCCTCATGGTCATGGTGTAGTTTATACCTAGAGTAACTGAGTTCTTATACTTTAAGGTTGTTTTATGGAATGTTTTAAGATCAACTTCTTCCACATTTGTTCTTTTCCCAGTGTCAAAGAAAGGTGTATAACTAAGTAACTAAACACGTTTTTATTTGAGCTTTGTTTTATATTGATAATACTTATACTTTTGACTTCTGACTATTGCTTACTTCCTTTTTTACTTTCATAGTTCAGTTTACTCAAGGAGTGACTGACCAAACTGAATTTTCATCAATTGAGCTTGGTTTTTGTAATGCTTTTTCATGTTCGACTTAAAGTTCTTTTGATTCTCTTTTGAATTTAATAGTATATTTTCTACAAAAGTGAGCTCTGATCACTTCATATTGGTTTTTAAAATGATTTTAATGCTGTATTTACTTCTCATTTGTTTCTTCATTTCTCAGTTTCATAGTATAGCTTAAAATAGCAAATGTGACTAAGTTCAATTATTGGATGTTGGTTTAGAAATGATGTTTGATGATCTACTCCCTTCTCACTGTTTCTTTCTCACATTCATAGTATAGTTTATACCAGGAGTGCCTGATCTGACTGTTTTTTAAGTGAGGTTGGTTGCAAAATAATGTTTCATGCACTACTTCTTATTTTTTTCTTAGTTTCATACATATTTATACCTCTAGTGAGTCATAAGACTCAGTTTTAAAATGATGATACATGTACTATTAATTTGTGATGGGCGATATATCGATTCTTTATCCATTCTAATGATATTTTACGGAACGATGTGAATTATTATCAAAAATTTTATGCAATTTTTATCAATCAATTGACCATGCCCATTTATTAAGGTTGAATAACTAATTTCAATGAGTAATTGCGCTTTTGAACTGCAAGAAAGCAACTGACAAGTGTTAGGTCAGAACAGATGTACATGTTCCATTATCATTTGCTACACCCTTGACATACCCTAAAATGAAGGAGTAACTATTGTATTGTTAATAATATTTTTGTAAAAATGTCATGGATTGTGATCAAAAATCAAGAGTATCGGACATCTTGCCCATCACTACTACTCATTTCAGACCACTTGTTTCATCTTTTTGCAGTTTCTTAGTATATTCTAAAATACCAGAAACGACTAATCACACTAAGTTTTCATCATTTCAAGTTGTTTTTTTAAACAACGTTTCATGTTCTTTTATACTATTTTGTTCCTTCCTTTCTCAGTTTCATAGTATAGATTATTCTGATTGGACTGAGTTCTAATTATTTAGTTTTTTTTACTTTTAAATTCCCATCACATTCAATTTGGAGTAGATATTTTGTGAATTTTTTCTCAAACTTCTTTGTTTTTCAGCTTTTCAATTTAGACATAATTTGACCTAATTATTGGGCTGAAATACATTTGTTTGGATAACTACGCAGGTATATGTTAAAATATTGCTTTCTATGCTTACCGTGCTGAAAAAAAGCACAAAAACTGCCAATTGTATACTTTGTAAACCAGTAAATACTTTCTCCATTGTTTATTACCTTCTTGTGAATGTCTGTGATTAATTAAACTTGATATCAAACATCATCGTATGCATGGAAAGCATCATAAAGTTAATTGTGATTTAAAAAATATTTTCCATTCAATGATGAATAATTATTTGTGTAATTTTAACCATTTGAAGTTAGAAAAATGTTAAAAAATACACTGGGAATTCAAGAGTTAA